CCAGTCACAATASTAACACCCCTCTGAATGGCCAAAGGTTATCTGGAAGGTCATGCTAATCAGTCTTCTGGCCCTAGACACAACACCAGCCTACCTGAGCGCATAGATCTACCAGTGAAATGAAAATACCACTGAGCTCCCCACCTGAAAGGGGCCTCCCTTTATGGAAACTAGATGGGAAGTTTTTCTTCCTATCTAACCCCGATTCTTCCTGCTGCAGCAAAGGCCTATTTCCTCTCAAGCTGTCCTGTGCAGAGACGGGGGAGGGAGAGAAGAGCAGATTTCCAGCCTCCAAACCCTTCTGTTTGCCCACTCCCAGCAGAGAGGATGAGGGCAGGGTGTCCCAGGGGGCTGGCCGTTAGCCTAGTGCATGTGTGGGGCCTGAAGGGGGATAGGGGGAGCAGCAGTCCACGTAGGGGAGAAACAGATCTTCTAGGAATTATTCCTCCACCTCCTCAGCCTCTGTCAAACCCGAAGACTCAGACTTAACGAGGGGGTTTCTCTGGGTTCATGAACACAWCATTTATTGAGTATTTATTACGTCAGGCACTGCAATGGGTGTTTTTATGTTATTTCATTTACCCGTCACAAAATTCTATGATCAGAAACTCATTTGTCTCCTGGGACGGTCCTTTCCTAAGACTAGGTCTAACCTTGATCTTTCTTGCTGCATTTCTACTGGTTGTCCTCTTTGGTGGTGGAGGGCATTCTGTTCCTGTCTTCAGAGAGTCTCATCATTATTCGGGTGGCTCCACATTATCTTTTCCAGGCTGCCAACCTTTACTCCAGCCTTGTCCCAGGTGACAGGTGATATGTGGGTGAAAGGGACCAAGGCCAGGACTGAAGGCTGGGATCCAGGGCACTGCCCAATGCCAGATATTGAGCACAAACCAGGTAGCCGCAGAGGAAGCCCTGGGGAAAGTCCTCACGAGATCAGGCGGGGCTGACAGGTAGGAGCCAACCTGGAGCTAGCAGGCTGTCCCTCCCTGGTGATTCCTGCGGCCCTCAGAGGGGCCTAGAACCTGCCTTTGGTTCGGTAACTAGGAAGGGCCCAGAGAGGCTGTGAATGGCCTAGTCTTTCTTTCTTTCTTATTTTTCTTTGTCTGAATTTTTTTTTTAGTTGTAGATGAACACAATACCTTCATTTTATTTATTTATTTTGATGCGGTGCTGAGGATGGAACCCAGGGTCTCACACCTGCAAGGCAAGCGCTCTACCCCTGAGCTACAGCCCTAACCTAATCTTTCTTAATAACCATCTCTAAGGTCCATGTTCAGCCCACATACCTGGAGCCCAGGGACCTGGGCAGAGGCACAACCTGGCCAGACTCATCAGGGACTGTGGATGGGAGCTGGAGCAGAGTGGGAGTTCTTGCACCTACGGAAGCTTCTGGCATCTGGAAGGCCAGAGGCATATGACCATGCTTCCCTGTTTGGACTTTTTAGGGCAGGACAGGGATTCCCTCCACCAAAGCCATACCTTGGCCTTAGCTCTAGCAAAGCTGGGATGCAGGGGCCGGGCCCCCCTCCCCAGGGAATGCTCAGCCTCAGCTTCCACCCTCTGGGAAACTGGAGCCGAAGAAGCCTGGACCAATGGGCAAGGGGAGTCAGAATGGTGGGTGGGACTCTAGGCCGAGGTGGGTGGTGCTCTCCTTCTTCAAGCAGGCACTATTAATATATGCAAAGCATATGCAAATAACCCAGAAGAGAGACACAACATCGCCCGGAATGTCAGAAGAGACCTTGGAGATCATCCAGCCCACGCCCCCTCATTTCACAGGTGAGGAAAGAGTCCCCGGTGGGAAGGGACTTGCTCAAGGTCACACAGACACTTGGGTACCAAGGACGGATCAAAATTAGGTTTCTTGATCTAGTCTAGGGCTCTTTCTGAGATTGGCCAATAGGTCGAAGGGGACTCAGGGCCTGGAGGGGGCTCAGGCAGGCTTAGCCGAGACCCCTACGGGGGACTGAGTGGAGAGGCCTCTTGGGCCCCTCCTCCCCACCTCGGAGCCTGGAGGCAGTCGGGTGGGTGTGTGTGTCCTCCAGTGTACAAGGACAGCAGCGATCCCTGGATCCCTGGGAGGCCAGAGGGTCAGAAACCAGGGGCTGGGGCTCTGGAGAGGGAAGCCTCAGGGTGACTGAAGTATCTGAGGCAGGGGAGGAAGAGCCCAATGTCAAGGCAAGGTGCCCGCTGTGCTGAGGGGAGGGGATGTGCCCTTGCTGCGTACACACACACACACACACACACACACACACTCTCTCTCTCCTCCCTAAGTGCACAGCGGCCCCCTTCTGCCTGGACACTGATAACAATAACACCTGACAGACCAGCCAGGCCATCCCTTCGGAGGCTGCGCTGTGGCTGCTTTGCACACCACCCCCTTGGCTTCACAACCTTCCAGACAGTCCTAGAAAGCAGGAGGGAGAGGGAGGGAAGACAGGTAGAGGGAGCGGGAGCAGCCAGAGGGAGGAAGGGGGGACTTGAGAACTGGGAGAAAGGGAGCGCATGAAGGACAGAGCAGGAGAAACCAGGGGCAGGGAGGGGAGACCAGGCAGAACATGGGGAATCTGGGTGGCAGGGAGGAGAGAGGAGGGGTGGGGAAAGATGGGGGTGGGGCAGAGAGTAGAGGGGGGCAGCAGATCAGAGGAGGATGCCCAGGGACCTGAAGGACAATGCTAGAGCCCAGGTACGGGGTCCAGGAGCCCTGGCAGTGAGCGCCTYGGCTATCTGGCAGAATTTGGGGACCAGGCCCTTGCCCCTCTGCCCACCTCCCCAGCTACTCCCTTGGCTGCCAGGAAATCAGTCCTCCCTCCTCTCCGCCTCCCTCCCTCCTTCCCTCCCTGGGGGCCTTCGCAGCCAAATCCAAAGCCTTCATCTCCTCTTTTCAGAGCCTGGAATGAAAGAAGGGGAAGCGAGTGCAGCCCTCAAACCCGCTGACGGCCAGATTTTTATTATCTTTGCTCGAATGGGCCCTAGGAAGCCAACTAGGGATTCTTCAAAGAGCGTCTGAGTGCCTCATTGAAGCCGGCACCTGCATCAGCCCACCCACGGCAGGCTGCTGGGGTTTGGGGGGGCGCAACCTGTCCCCACCCCCCACCAGTGCTAGGAACCAGATCATAGGCTGCCAGCAGCCTCACGCTCTGCACCTTGTGCCCAGGTCAGAAAGCCAGGCTCAGCAGCAGGACCCGGGCCGGCTGGGCATCTAAGGCAGTTTCTGTCCCTCTCTGGGCCTTTCGGACACAAATAAAGGAAGAAAACAGATCTCCTTGCCAGGGCTTGGAGGAGATAAGTGCTTAGGATTCCTCGAAAGAGAAGCTTTTATGGCAAGCCCTGGAGCCTTCTCCTGGTACTTGCCCAGCACCCACAGGCTTCCTCCACTGCCTGGACCCCTCTTGGAAAGACTCCCTCCCAACACAGCTGCCTCTGCCTGTGCCCCAGGCCCACTACTCAGAAGGAAAGACACTATGACCTTTCTTTTCTCTAACCCTAAACACAGTTCCAGCAATTCAGATCCTCAACCCTGTCTTCCTTCTTTCTAACCCAGGTGGGGTGAAGTGGGGGTGCTAAGCAGACCAGGTACATCAAAGAACCCAGCCCCTTCCCCCTCAGCACTTCCAGCACTGGCAGGGGTTTTGGCAGAGAATAGCAAGGTTGGCACTGGGCAGACAGCAGCGATGCCACCCCCGCCCCCATCTCTGACCACACCATTGAGATCAATGCCCGCAGCCAAAGAAGGAATCAATGGTTCTAATTAAACCCTCTTTCCAGGGTGGGTACCTGGCCAGGGAGAGAGGAGAGAGAACACCAGAGAGGCCCTGCATCCTGAAAAATACCTTAGACATCTTTGAGAAGCCTGAAGCTCTGCAGAAATCAGGCCATGAAGACCCCAGGCCCCTGCATTAGGCAAGAAGGCAAGTAGAGCGCTGGGGTGAACCTCTGGGATTGGGGTAAGCCTCCAAAAGGCATATTCTAGGGACCCCTCCCCTTTCCTTTCCCTGTCTGACACCACAGTTGCTTCTTTCAGAAAGATCTCCAGAGCACAGATAGCAGGAACCAGAAGGGGGACCCACAGCATCTCATCGGAGCCCTGAGGGTCATCGCAGAGAATCAGCCACAGCAGAAAAGGCGGAAGGAGCAGGACTTGGGGGGGTGCACTGGACAAAGACCCTCTTGTCCCTAGGCAGGGTGGCAGGAAGCCAGGGCAAAGCCTTTGCACTTGCTGCCAATGGTGCCTGGGTGCCAGGCAGTCTGGGTGGGGAGCTGGGGGGATATTATTCTTGGAGCCCCCTCCCCTTATCCCAGAGTCCTCACCCCCATTCCTTGCTTCTACACCAGGCCACCAGCTAGGTCTCTGTCCCAGCAACTCTTGCTTGCCTGAAACTCTCCTTCCTGTGATGCTTGCCCAGAGTGGCCCCAACATCAACCATAGCCAGCCAAACCCTAAACACGTACATCATAACTGACCCCACATACACACACATGCACAACCTCGCCAGAAAACACAGCCAGCCCCCCTGCCACCTGTGATGACAGAGCCTTACATTTCACAGTGACAGCCTCTATCAAATGCATCATCAATTTTTTAAGACCAGCCAGCCGGGGAGCAAAGGGAATGAGAGAAACTGAGGCACAGAGTTAGACAGCAAAGCAGTTGGTTCAAGGTCACCCACACCAAGATTCCCAGAGTCCAGAAGGTATTCTAACCCCCCTAGAGTGCTCAACCCCCACCCAAAGGAACATTCAGACCCACAAATCTCAAGTCGGGTCAGCTTCCTTCACTCCCCACCCTCATCTGTTTCCTTTTCCCAAAAACAGACAGAAGCTCCGATAGCTCCTTTGAAGAGCTTCAGACAGAAATCTCCAGCTCGAGGACCTCACTTCCCTCAAAGTTGGGGGCTGTAGGACCTCCTGGTCCTGCGAGGTCCTGCAGAATTTGAGGAGAGAGGCTGGAAAAGACGGTCCAGGACCCCCTCCTTGCCCACAGCCCTGATCCGGCTCACCTGGCTCCCCTCGGCCCCCAGCGTCCCTTGGTCCAGCCTCCTCCCGGGGAGTGCGGGCACTGCCCTCCGCGGTCCTCTCCCACCAGGCCAGGGCAAAGCGCCGGAGGCACTGCCAGGGCTGCATGGGGAGGCGTGGGGCTGGGGGCGCGTACCAGCAGCCGCACACGCCCCGCCGGGCCCTGCCAGCCTAGCTGCGGAGGCACCCGGCCGGCCCCCTCTGCTGCCACCAGCATCCTGCTGCCCCCACCGACAGGACTAGGAGCTGGCCCGGGAGCTTCTGACGTAGCAGGGGGGTGCGTGGGAGGGAAGGGGGGGCCACTGCGCGTCTTAGCCCCAGCCCCGCCCTCTGTTCCTGGGCCCACCCCAGTCCCTATCTCTTCATTCACCCTGGATGCCCTCCCCAGCTGGGGGCGCCCTCCCCTGCCCTCTGGCCTCTGCAGGGGGAGGGCTTAAGATCAAATAGCCCCTCCCCCAGCCCCTCCCTCTCGTGGGCCCTCCCAACCCGCCAGTCGAGCAGGGAGCAGGTCCCCAGTTTCTGCAACTGCTGCTGAGGCTCAGAGGTCTCCAGGGCTAGGGCCTCGAGGTGCAGGGGGGTGGGGGGTGGAATACGGGTTTGTATCCTGGCAACACAGCCAACCCCAGAACGCAACTCAGCCCCTTTCTTCCCTGGGGGGCTGACGTGAAGGGCCCATTACCACCAGCCCCAGCCTGTACCCCATTCTGGGAGCTGGGGCAGGGGAAGGCCTTTGATGCTCCTCACTTCTCCATCCCCAACCCCTCCCCCTGTAGCCTCCTCTGCCTCCACCTCCGATGGACCACTCCCCTCCCCCCACTCTCCTCGCCATCCATCCCCCTTCTTCTTCTCCCACCCCTCCCCCTCCACAATACTCCTCTACATTTCAACCCCCTCAGGCCCCCTCCCCCGGGTACCGCGAGGCCCTCCCGCCCGGTCTCCAGTCTTCCCAATCCCTAACCCCATCTCTGGTCCCAGCACTCTCGCGCCCGGGTCCTTCTCCCAAGGCCGGCGTGCGGCGGTCCCCAGCCCCCCAGCACACACCTGCGTCCCGAGCATCCCTCGCCCCGCGGGCCGCCGCCTCCCGGGCCCGGCCGCCGCCCCCGCCCCCGGCCGAGGGGAAAACACACAAAGAAAACAGAAATACCTTCCACTTAAGCATGGAGGCACATTAGGGAGGAGAGAGACAGGGACATGCCTTGGGACGGAGCGTTCCCCATCGGGCGGGGGCGCGGGGGGCGGGGGCCCCGGGCCGGCCTGCCTGGCGCTCGCCCTCTCGCCGCCTCACGGGCTCCTCGCTCGGCCCCAGCCCCGGGGCGCGGTGCCAGGCGGGCGGGCCGGGGGCGCGGGCCCCGCCGGGGTGGACCAGCTGGGAGGGCGCCGGCGGCCGGGCGTGTGGGTGCGCGCGCGCGCGGGCGTGTCACCGAGTGTGCGAGAGCGAGTGTGTGTGTGTGTGTGTGTGTGAGATCGCGCGCGTGCGGCCGGCGCGGGTGTGTCACTGCGGACGGGAGCGCGCGCGGCACGGGCACGCGCGTGTGGCCGGATGGTACAAAGGGCCGCCGGGGGCGGCGGGGAGCGGGGGAGGGGAGGGGGCATTGCGCTTTCTCGCGCCCTCCAGCAGCACCGCGGGATCCCGCAGCGCGCGACCGGAGTAGGGTACGGGGCGCGCTCCTGCTCCCCTTCCCACTCCACCTGCTTCCCCCAACCTAAGCAGTCCTCGCGACACGACAGGGACAAATACATTGACCGGGGACTGGCCTTGGAGGAGGCACCTGGGGAAGGGGGACTTCTCAGGGGTATGAGACTCCTGGGATAGAAAAGCACTCGGGTCGGGGAGGGGCGGGGCAGGAAGGCGATGAGAGGCAACGAGACTGGGGGCCACTCTTCAGCCAAGGTGACCTCAGAACGCGGCAGCCGCCCTATGCAGGAAAAGTGGGGACCCCGCTCTGGCTCCAAGGCGCCCCCCTCCACCCCTTGGCACCTCCCCCTAGCCTTAGACAGTGCTCCTCCAGAGGGACCTGGCTCCCTGGCGCCCCCTGCTGGACTGCCTCCTAGCCCCCCCCCCATAAAGGTTGCGGCCCCTCCTGCAGGTGCGTGCGGGAACTGCAGCGGTGCGTGCTGAGAGTAAGGGGAATCTATTATTTCTCCTCTGCATGGGACCCTAGAGAAGGACGCTCCAACTACTCCACCTTCACACGCCTCGCTTAGAGGCGCCATTGCCACCTCCAAAGCAACCTGCAGACAGCCTGCTCCGCCCCATCCGGCCCTGACCCACCGTAGTTGGCTTACCTGTTGGCTCAGCGAACTTCAGCTCCKAACCAAACCCGTACTGACCCTTCCTCGTGCTCTGATTGCTCCCTCTCTCACTGCATCCGGTTCTCRGGTGAAACCCTTCTCTCCTAAGCCTCTCTTGGGAAAGGGAAAGTGAGCTGAGCCCCCTGCCCCTTTTATTTATTCCTGGCATTCCTTAAGCCAGCTCAGATGATAAAGAAAGGGACACAATGCATCTCTTCGCTGTAGGACACCAGGCCAACTGGCAGGCAGGCAGAGAACCCAGGAGAGAAGACCCCACCCCAAGTAGCCCGAATGACAAACCGGTTTCCCCACTTCCTGGTCTACCCAGTCACAGTCTTAATCTGGGCTCTCCCACTTTCCTGCCCGCCCCCAGGCCTACCTCTGAGCAAACCACATGCCCAGCTAGGGGCAAGGTCCCAAATACCCCTCAGAGATCAATGTCCAGTTGCAGTAACCCAGGTGGCAGGGCTAGGGCTGGAGGAGGAGGGGGCCTTTCCCAACTCCTGCCAGACAATTCAGGAGGGCAGCCAAGAGCTGTGACACTGACACATGGTCTGGGCACACGACCCCAGCAGTTGGGCACCCTGACTTCTCTCCTCCTGGGCCAGCTGCCTCTCCCTCTGCCAACTGGATGGTGCCCATCTTTTGGCCTCTGAGAGTGCCGTGGGCACCTGTCCAGCTCCCTCCCTGGCTGTCTGCCCAGGATGGGCACGGGAGGCAGCAGGCCCTGTGCAGGGGAGGGTCAGACTGGTAGAGTAGCTTCCTCTCAGCGGCAAGACACTACCTCCCAAGCCTCCTAGAGCTCAGAGTGTGGGCATATAATGCTGTCCATTCAGACCCCCCATTTAGCTGCTGCACAGGACTCCTCTGCCTTTTGCCTCCCCCAACTCAGATTTCTAACTCCCAGGGACACAATTTCTTCCTGTTCCCAATTTTTGCCCACCTAAGGAGAAGAGAATCTGCAGGTGCTTTACCTGTSATGTCTAATTTAGCTCTTTCACCAACCCTATAGAAGTGACAACTTTCATTCCCACATCACAGTAAAGGAATTGAGGCTCAGAAAAGGATAGCCAATCGCCTTGCCTCCTACACAGACATCTCCTAGCCCCATGGGACCAGCCAGGCACACCAAGTCTCATAACCATATGGTTGGTGGCAAAGAGCTGGGATCAGGAATGCATCTAAGAGTTAAAATAGGTACTTTATCAATAATGAGGACTTGGGCATTCTCCCCCAGATGACAATGGAAAATGAATGACATGGAGATTTTTCCACCCTTACACTAGATGCCAAGAAGTCAATAGACAGGACCGAGTGGGACAGGTCCGTGCATCAGCCCCCAGCGATTGGAACAGTTCCAAAGGTGTCAGCAGGACAAAGCACTCATTTTCCCATTCCCTAAGAAGAGCTCCTTCAGGGGGTCCCCTGGGTGTCCCCCTGGAGGGGCTTAAATCCGATTCAGTATTTCTTGTGAGGCTCAGTTTTTAATGACGAATCCTTCACATTTCTGGTCATCTCATAGCTATGAGCTCATTTGACCCTCTCCCCAACTCTCCAAAGATGTCTTATGGGACACACAAACACCTAGGGCTGCTGGCCCCACATGTCCCATAGAGAAGTGAGAGGGAATGTGGCTTCTGAACAGGAGCAAAGATGCCAAGGTCTCCAGTTGAGCCAGAGTGGGGATGGCCTGGCAACCTTATCCTTCATGGACCCCACCATGTCCCCTGCTCTGCTCCAGAGGAGGGGGAAGATAGGTGCACCTCCCCCTCCTATGAATGAGACCTCAGAACTTGGAAAGGCTCTTGGTGTAGGGAGAAGGCTGAAGATGCCACCTCCTGACCAAAGTGACAGTGAACCAGGAATGAATCTCCAGCCCAGAAATGAGGGTGGCTCCTGGAAGCTGGCACAGTGCCCATGCCAGTCAGCATGCCAKCTGCCTCCACCTGAGACGCTTCAGGTGCTGCACCTCCCCCCTCTCATTCCCCAACAGGTAACTTCCCTCTGGTCCTCCTCCCCTGTGACTCTGGCAGTTCTCCTCCGAAGGCAACAGCTGGCATGTCTGAGGATCTTAACCACTACCTTGCCCTTCTCGAACGCTCTAGTCCCCTTGCTTGTATCCGGGAGCCTGCAGGAGGGATGTATTGGGAATCACCCTAGAGGGGAGAATTCTCACCTTTTTTTTTTTCCTCCCAAGACACAGTAGAAGCAGGGATGGCACCTGGACAAGAAGAGGGAATTTGGGTGGGCAGAAAGATTCCCAAGGGAAGTGGGTACAGTGGCATATGCYGGGAATCCCAGCAACTTGGGAAGCTGAGGCAGGAGGATGACAAGTTCAAAGCCAGCCTCAGCAACTTAGCAACGTGTCAAGCAACTTAGTGAGACCCTGTCTCAAAATAAAAGAGAGCTGGAGATGTGGCTCAGTGGCTAAGCACCCCTGGGTTCAATCCCTGGTACCAAAAAAAGAAAAAAAAATTCCCAGGACTCTCTCTAGGGGAAGCCACAGGGAGAAAGGTGATGCGCCCCCAGACTGCCCACTCTGACACCTTGAACTATTCCCCTCGGGATCCCCCCAAGAAAGTCCCTCCAAGCTACACATACCATTTGTTTGGCCAGGGCATTCCCTGAGCCCCATGGAGCCATCCACACTAGACTGAAGGTGGCCTGGGGCCTGGTCCTGTTCTGGGGAGCGTGTTGGACTTTGGGACAGAAGCCAGGCTCTACCTGGAGTTTCTTGGCCCCAGCCTACTGTCCAAGAGCCCCTAAACCTCTCTCTCACATTCCTTGTTCTCAGTTCCCACTCCCACKCCACAGGAGAGG